GAGAGAGAGAGAGAGAGAGAGAGAGAGAGAGAGAGAGAGAGAGAGAGAGTGTTTTTACAAATCGCTGCAAAACCCAAAATATTGGTTACAACTATATAGCAATGGCATTAATCTTTATTGCATACCAACACCACAGGTGGCTTCAAAATCATTGACCTCAAAATCATCCGAAGCCGTAGCAGCAAGAAATGAAAAGGCAGCTTCCAACTGAGCAGGAGTTTTAATCTGTACAAACAAACAACAACAACAACAACATAGCCTTTTAGTCCCAAACAAGTTGGGGTAGGCTAGAAATGAAACCCAAGAGAACCAATGGGGGAAACAAGTGAATATATTGTAAAGACTGTAATTGGAGTGAAGAGACCAAGGTCTCAACATATATTATTATATACAACATAAAGTAAAATATTCCAAACCTTTGATGAAACAATATATTTAAGCAATGCAGGACGATGCACGAGCGCATTTGCTGGGAATTTTGTAGCAACCTGCCAATAAATGGCATCAAATTTTTTCCATTCGAAATATATTCATATCTGAAACAAATAGAAGCCTACTTCTACCTTAGGATTTTGCATAATAAACAATCATATTGGAAAACTAAAAAATGTAGGATTAAAATTTATTAGTGACCATGTATTAAAGCAGTTCTGTGTCCAACAAAACATTCAATGAATGAAGTATCTCGATTTCTGTCATCAACCAATCTTAAGATCATAAAGGCTATGACAAGGAAATAAACCACACAAGCTGAATGAGTCTCTTCTCAAATATAAGTAAATGTGTTAAAATTTCCAACTTACAGTGTACAGGAGATTCCCGACCGTACGATCACAGCCGTCCGTCACGGCAGCCTGCATTCACCAAATTCAGAGATGAACAATAAGGCAAGCAAGCTTCACAACCAAATGTCATCAAATTGACATTTTTTAATTAAATCATTCAGAGTAATATACAAAATTTATAGGCTACAATATGATGAGATAAAATTATTGATTCAATCAATTTCCAGAGATATTGTGTTTGCTTGTTTCTCAAACTAAGTTCACTGTTTTCAATAATCTTTTAAAGATCTTCTATGTCACAAATATGCACCAGAAGGTGCCACCAGAAGATTTACACGAAAGTCGCAGATGAGGTCGGTTTCCGCTTTTCACAAGAGCTACTGCAACTTGAAACCATACAAGTCGTAGACAAAGTAATTTGGTTTAAGTTCTTCAATCTTTCAAATTTCAAGGACCCAAAAGGAAAAAAAAAGAACTCCCAGAACAAAAGAAAATTTAACAATAAGAAACTAGATATAGATACATTGATATAAATGATGCACAAGACCAAATAAACTATCTGTTTCCAGTAATAAATTACTGGGTAGCTCTAATTTCTACATAAACCCATGAAAAATTCAGGCTTGAAACCACGCTTAGACAGAACCAACACGCAAGAAGCAATATATTCACACAAAAAAAACATCAGCTACCAAACATAATTGGCCGAGAGCAAAAACAAAACTACATACCTCGTGAATAACGGCCGTGAGATTAGCCGTGACCTTATTGTTAGCTACGGTGTTTTTGGCGGTCCTCTCATCCAAACCGATCCTCAGAAACAAATCTAAAGGCTTATCGCCGCCGGAAGTAGCCTCGCTGTCGCTCCTCCCCACCATGTTTTCCCCTATGCAATATCGTGTCCTAAAAGAAAAAATATATATGAAAATGAGCTTTGTAATGTGACTGTGCGTGAAAAGGGAGGGTTTTTCACAAGTCACAACCCTAGCAAGTTACAGTGAATTAAAGAGATTCGCCGGAGAAGGGTTAGAATTGGAATTTGAGATCTTTGAATATCGTAGTTGAGGATATTTATTTAGTCATATCCAAGTCAATAATTAAGAATTATTATAAATAAATATTCTTAAAAAATCAAAACTTGTGATTTTTTTTCAAAGAATGAAATTTCTTTGTTCTTTCAAACTGCAAAAGAAGCTGTCAATATTGGAAGGCGGTGGGTGAGCTGCCCGTCATCCTGAGGGCCCTAAAAATGGCCAACGTGACTCGCAAGTAGAGGCGTTGGAACGGGCTAGCGGGGTGGGTGACCCATAGCCCGCAGTTTGGAAGGAAAGGCGGGCCTGCGGACATGGCGGCCTAAGAAGATAGCGAATCAACTCATTTTGCCAAGTCTGCCAAGTCCCCTCATATTGTGCTGAGTTTAAGTGACAAACTCGCATGTTTTGGGATCTTACATTGCAAAATTTCATGTTTCGTTTATTTGGCTTGGATAGATTTTAGTTTACTTTCAATTCAAAAACTAGTACGTAGCCCGTGCGATGCACGGGGCGTACGTAATAAATGAGTCATTCTACATAGCTTGTCCGTTGAGTAGCTCGCGCGATTCACGGGAGATATTAAATGAGTGGACCATAGAGCTTGTCCGTTCATGCCTAAAAAATAATAGAGTTTGATCATCTATTTTTTTTACATCTTTTCATCAAGGTCATATTTTTTTTCGGAACATTAAACCTGAGTCTGGTAGAGCTAGCCCATAAATTAATTAATATATTACCTCGCTCACATATTTATAATAATATAAATTTGATTCCATTATATATATTTATTCCTTGATATAAGAAAAATTACAATTTTACGTAATCTTGTTCCTCGTATAATACTCATATTATTTTATTATAAAATTTATTGTATTATAATGTCATTATTATTATTTATACAAGTTATAAATGTAGTCTTCTTCTTCTTTTTGTTTTATGTAATTAAAATATTTAATGTATGTTCATACTATTTATTAATGCAATTAATTTAAATTATATAAATAAATTTAGAGTAAAATATTTTGTACAAACATTTTATAAAATATACACAAAAATTTTTTTAGAATTTAATTTTTTTATAATAAATAAACATCTTTGAAATTCTATGAAATCGATTAAATCTGCTTTATTGAAACCGATTAAATCTTTATTTATAGGCTTGACAATAAAACCGAATTTTTGAGATTTTTTTAACTAAACCGATGTTAAGGGATAAAACAAATCTATAATTAGCTTTGACTTTTCCAGCAAAGGTAAAAAAATCGGTTCTGACTTTTATCCCATAACAAATCTTTAATGTCAAGCCTATAAATAACAAAACGAATATGTAATTAATTCTATTCTATTTACAGTAAGCATTAATTACCTTTGACTTTTCTGTCTACTATTTTTAGTAAATATGATGACCTTTTATATAAGTATAGATAATTAGGTTCATATTATCCATAAACATGTTGATTATTTACAGTCATTTTACATGTATTAATTGCATTTTAATATCATTCCATGTTATAACTATCGAATTGTAAATGTATTTTCAAAGTTAATAAATATTGTATTGTTTATCAGTTTTAAATATATAATATATCAAATTAGTCATCTCTTGATGGTTTTCGATTTGACATTCATATTGTATTTATAAAATAAAAAAAATTATATTTACGTTTTAATAATAATAAAATTATTTATTAATATTAACTATAAAATTAAATTATTTATTAATTAATATATTTATGTCTAAAATAGTTATATTATATAAGTTAGAAAAATTATTATAATAACATTTATAAATCATACAAGTAATAAATGTCGTTATAAAATATATATAATAACATATATTTTTTGTAAGTAAATTATTTAAATTTTAAAACACTTTTTCTCATTAATTTTAAAATTTAAGAATAATTTTTTTCACAAGCACCGTATAATACACAGGTGTTGTACTAGTATATGTAATAAAAATAAATAAATTGACAAAAAAAAACCCTTATTTCCATCCAAGCCACAAATTGTGGAGAAATCACAAAAGCTCACTCTCAAGCAAAACATCTATATATATAATTGCTAGCAAAGCAATTAATAAAACATCATTTATTTTCCCTTTAAAAGACATTACAAAAACATATTATTATATTTTTCTTTTCATTAAAACTTTGAACAACTCACTAATCAATGAATATTTGATATATATATATATATATATATATATATATATATATATATATGTATGTGTGTGTGTGTGTGTATAATTGCTAACAGAAAAAAATAATAAAACTATATGAAAAATTTACCTTTTTTCCGTTGCAATCTAATATTATTTTTAAACAAGTAACTAAAACATAATCAATGACTTTTTAGACGAAATGATCAAAGAATATTTGGAGACACGTCGAATAAAGATTCCTACGGAAATCCACAAAGAAACGATCTAATTAATCAAGATACATAACTGATATGGGATATTATACCAAACTGTCTTTAATGGATAATATGAATATATTGGAAAATAAGTCCACATATGGGCTAGGACACATGGCATAATGGTATGGGTCAAGCCCAACTTGGGCACTAAGGTATACTCCCCCTATAAAATGGCTAAGGTATCACAAAACATCATTCTCTCTACATTCATAATTATACTCTTGAGATTTGGAGTGATATTAACTTAAGCATCGCAAGCACGATGTCGGGACCCCTCCCGGCATTGGGTTCTGGAGGTACGGAGGCCGTCCGAGTTCAAAGAGCCTAAGTGAAGTCTATTTCACTAACAATAATGATGATTCTATCCATACAATTTTGCACTTCTCAAAAAATATATATGTTTCATTGCTAAAAGTAAAATTTGGGAAAAGGAACTAATTCCTGATGGTTAATTAAAGTGTAATCATGTTTTTTATTATCTATTATATAATATTTATTACTAAAACTAACCAATCTTCAAAGTCATCGCTTCAATCTTTCTGCATGCCCTCCATGGCGGTTTCGTCGGCCCTTTTGCCTGCGGATGGCCTTTAGCTGCACATTCTTGCCTCAATTTTGTGCTATTCTCCGCTCGTTTGCGCCGATGGGAGAAGATGGTCGCCCTTCGGACGGATCTCTCCATGCCTTGGTTGTCAATCGCGGTCGCGATTGTTGGCATCCATGTTTACGTAGTGGTGTTGGGTGGTGGCATGTGGTTAGGGGTTGGGAGTGGCCCAGGTTGCTCGTACTTGTCGGAGACGGGTCGACTGGGGCTGAGGAGTGGTTTGTAACCCCCATCTCCCTGGTCTTTTGGTGTGAAGTTTGAGGGTTGATCGACACTTCGAACCTAGGATAGTGGTGTTGGACGGGTTCATAGTGATAGTGGTGTGTGGGGGAATGGTCGTTGCTCCTCCTGTTTTGGGTCTGCTTCTCCTCGAGGAGTGGTTCGAGGTGTCGGGACTCGACTCCATTTAGGTGGTTGGCAGCTTCAGGAGCGGTGTTCTGGACGTCGGGTCGGGCTTTGGTGNNNTGTGTTGTACTCGGTTTTTTTACTGTGGGAAGGGCCTCTGTTGCTGTTTAGGTTTTTTTTAGCGTGTCTAGGTGGTTGTGCTTGTGTGTTGTTCCGGTATGTTTTGGTTCGTGTTTTAGTGTTGGGGTGTTGTTGTAGGGATTTTGAGTCTTGCTTCTTGTGGGAGCGTGTATTATCCTTTTGGGATCGTCAGTTCTCCTCTTTTTAGGAGCTTTTGTTGTGTGGCTTGTAGTTTGTGGGTGCGCTTTTCTAGTGTTGCTAGCTTAGGTACTAGGCGATCTTCGGATCTGGCCTCTTTTTTTTTTAGTTTTTAGCTGCTTCATTCAGCTTTGGGTTGTGTCTTTGTTTGTACATTTTGTTGTTTGGTATAATATCCATATCATTTCAGTAAAAAAAATCATACTAAATGATATATGGAAATTCAATAAGTATAAAAATTATACTGCAAAAAGTAAATAGAAAGCCCCAGGGGTGCCATAGTCTAGGAGCTCTAACTATGGCATGTTACATGAAATGCATCAAAACCAAAGCAAGCCACCACAGATAGGAATAAATGAATTCCAAAGACTCTCTTTCCGATTCAGGAAACAACTATCAGAGATCTTTTTTCCTTTTGAAAGGTAGAGGATACTGATGCAAGTTCTTCCCTTCTGAACATATATCTTAATCAAATCCGAATTGAAGAATAAGAAGATTGGTTGACCAACCAATATAATATAAAGCGTTAGGATGTTAAGTGGACAAAAGGATAATTATAGGAAAAAGATCTACAGATGCAAAAATAGTGGTCAAAATCGGATTCAATTGTCAACTGCCCCGAAATGCAAAGGGCGGTTAATCAAGTCCGACAACGGGTTTTCCAACAAGCCTTACAAGGAGCTATTTTTTTCTTAAACTATTTATTGCTCTTAACCATTTTTTTAGTAAGCTAACTGGCTTTAGTGGTATTAAAAAACCTCTTAAAATTTTATAAACAACAACAACAACAACAACAACAACAACAACAACAACAACAACAACAACAACAACAACAACAATAATAATAATAATAATAATAATAATTTTTTTAAGATAATTAAATAGGTCATCATCTCTTAAATTTATAAAAACTACATTATCCATTTCATATAATGTAATCAATATAGTGATTGAGTTGAATACTTTTATAATGTTCAAATTTACTAATGATTTGTTTTACTATCTAACTTTTAATTTTAATATTATATACATATATAATTTATAACAATTCAAACATTTGTGTGTGTGCACATGATTGAATATTAGTTTAATAAAACGGAGAGAATTCATGGTAAGCATCTCTATACTGGTACAATACTTGTGTAGTATATGGGTA